CATGCGCATGTAACACGGGACCGGCGTCAGATCCCACATCTTGTCCGTGTTGCTGCCACAGCTGCGCAGGCAGCAACCAGAAGGTATCAGCAGCAAGTAGGTCAACCCCGTCCCAGACAAGGCAAAGTGCAGAAAGAGGAGGGGTGTAAGAGGAAGGCCGAATTGGCTATCCTCGTCCAAAGTCGCATCTCGAATGGCAACATAAGTGAAAACAGGCATCATCCTGAGCCGGTTGGAAAGCGCTCTTCACACGGGAGGTTCGCCACCCCCCTGTACAACAGACCAGACACAACACATTCTGTACCGAGGCAAGTGCCACCACACTGTTTTCCAAATGCCTTGGTTGAAAGCTGCCGAAAAGCATGTCGTCGAGTGGCAAGTCCAAAAACACCCAAAAACATTGGACGTTCAACCGGGATGCTGCGGCCGATGCAGGTAAGGGGTGCCTGCATCCTGAGGATTCGCCCTGTTACCTGCCACCGGGCACATGCCCAAAGCAGCGCATGCAGCGGCACCACCAGAGCGACCGCCGCAAAGCGGACCGGCGTACTCTGCCCCAGCAACGGCACATTTCCATCTGCGGATGGCTCTGGATCGCCAGCAACAGCACCTGACTCTGACCGCTGCGATGTGATTGGGGCCACTCGCTGTCTAGCCTGTAGATAGAGATACTGGACGTAAAGGTGCATCCTAGTGGCATACCCCCGCGAAGAACAGGACGAGATGCAGCAGTACCACGCGATGTGTAGCCGCAAACACGCCCCACAGCGAATGAATCTCTCTGTGAGTCTTGGTTTCGGCTGCTTCCAATGTCACCTGCGCTGACCACCGGTCCAGCTGTCCAAGTCATGGTAACTAGGGTAACTAGGTGTTGCTGTAACGATACTCGAACGACAATGCAAGCCTGCCAATCGACCCTGGCGAGGGCCAGAAAGCGGCGCTCATGCTGCAGGTCGAAAAGCCGAGTACCATCCTGCAGCAGCAGCCCTTCCACCATACGGCTCGGGTCACAGAAGAACTCGTTCCAATCCTGAGGTGTGTGCAGACAGCCAAAAAAAAGGCACAGGGGCCAATGACAGCCGATATCAACCGATCAAGAGTCGTCGTAGTTTGCCACCTTGGCCAGGCTGGAATCAGACGTCGTGCACAACAGCGGTAACGCGCTGTCGTTCCATCGCTAAGGCGGCAGCATCCGGAAGCAGGAAGTTGTCCAGCCCCGGCTTCAACTTCTTCTTGTCTTTTTGTGAGTTGTGATCGATGTCAACATACTGATACCTCGGTGCTCTGCTTTATGATCTTGCAGGCTGGGATGATCGGCAACACAGCGACGCACAGGGCTCAACGGCCGGGATGCCACTCATCAAACACCACGTTGTAGATCGGTCGGATGATTTTACTCAAGAAGAGGTTGCTCCTGAACGGAGCACCTGGCAAGCTTGCCTCTGGCATGGGCACCCCGTAGACCTCTTCGAAGTCTGCAGGATTGGCGGCTAAGGCAAGCTCTGTGATGAAGTAGACTGCCTGACAAGAGCACTTCTGCACACACGCACACACCTCCGCTGCCGCGCACCACCCCTGTGGAATGCTGGCAAGATTTCATTGAATCTGATCCCATAGAAGCCATTCTGCCCCACCTCCGGCATGAATCTCACATTGCCTGCTTCCCCCCAAACTAGCAAGTAGACAGCCATCTCCGTGAGCTGCCGTGACAGAATCGCCGCTGTGGCCGGATCCAGTCCATCTTTGCGCAGCGGCTCCCACCTCGCCCCTCCCACAGGACGTGGCCTGGCCCAAAGCGCAATTATCGTTGATACTATTTTCGATTACGCGTTGCTATTCTGAACCCAGGCCACTACTATTTCCATTTCTTTCTGTATAAGGATTAGGAATACTCTGTTTCACTGTTATTACTATGGTTATGTGCTTGTCATTTTAATAAATGATTTTTGCCTCCTGTATGGCTGAGCTTTAGTTAATGATTAAAAATAAAAATAATTTACTGAGATTATTAGTATTACCAGTGTTATGACCATTAATACAATTGTTATTATGGACTATAGGCTCCTAGCACAACATGATAATGAGACGAGCGACTCATCTCCGGAGAGACTGGGTACTGCCGCAGGTTCGTGTTCAGCCAGCTTCGCCCGCCAACGGAGGAAGCCATCCATCATTTCGTAGTACAATTCCTCCACTGCCTGCGTAGGGCTTGGCTGTTTTGGGTCCTAGAAGCTCTTTCGACAGCCTTCGACATTCTCGGTTTTCGCTCGTACAGTGCTTGCCCCTTGCCCCATTATCGCCACAAGGCCCCAAACCAACGTCTGAGTAAAGCCGTTCTGAAGTATGACTGAAAGCGAGCGCGTGCTGAAGCCCACGGCCTCTTGCAGCATCAGCCCCTCGTTGATTGATGCTCCTTCGCCCATCGAGCGATCAGCAACCATCGCGCACTGGGAGCGCCAAAGCGACAGCAGGTGCTCATACTGGTTCCGGACGCTGTCGATTTGAAAATCAAAGGACTCTTTCAGCGCACCGAAAAGGCTCGAGGTCGAATTGGCAAACTCCGCAGCACCTGGTAAAACGCGGAGGCAGTGGCGTTCGATCCACTCTGCCTCCAGCTGTTGCTTCAGCTGGCTGCGGCAGGACACCCTTGGCGTCCTCGAGCCAGCTCGGCTCACGGGCGCCTCGTCACCTCAAAGTAGCGTGAAGCAACACACCGAAAGGCTGAGAAGAGGCCACCGAATCTTTCAATGCAACCCACGGAACGTTCCGTCATTTGCTCCGGCTCTTTTGTAGGCTGCGGGAGGATCCAGGATGACACAACGGAAATGGTAAACAAAATGGCCAAGCATACCACTGGCACCAGCAAAGCGACCTGAGCATCCAAATAGGTCCATTTCCAAAACACGCACCGAAGCAACAAGGTATGCAGACTTTACAATGACCTGAAAAGTGCCAATACCAAACTGACCCAAACGTCTGTAATGATAACTAATGACAACATAACACAACACCTGACATGCTTAACAGTGCTCAACGGTAACGCCAGGCAGCAGTGGAAGCGGACCATCTCGTGTCGATGCAGAACGGCGGCCCGGGCAGAGTGCAACACTTCCGGCCCTGGAGCATCACCGAGCCCCACCTGACAAAAGCCCGACTCGCGCAACCATCTGCCGAAAAAAGAAACACTCAAACTAACATCTGAAGAATCACATGCAGACAGAAAGATAGACAAACTACCATCTGCCGTAATCTGCCTGCCTACCAACCCTCCCCACATACCTACACAAATATCTACGTACGTACGTCCGTACATGTTGTGTCTCTGTTTGTGTGTGTGTGTGTGCGTCACCACTGCACTACATCACCGCACGATATGCCCATGCTGAATGGCTGCGCTTGAGGCTTAGAGCAAGCCGCGCGTTGACTGCCAGGTTGGTCGCTTCCATAAACCTTGAAGCGGTCTCGTTCTCTGCCAACCTCCATGCAATTGCTTCCGTCTCTGCCCATAGCCTCGGCCCCACATGCCCGAAAGAAGCCGCACAAGTTCATATTTTGTCCCAGTTTGCAAGCCCAATCGGGCGAAACTTTGCTTTGGAGTGGCCATGCGGCCATTCCCGATTGAGACAAGCAACGTCGTCGCATTTTCACAAGCCTCTGTGGCCAAGGAGCCTTTTTCTAACCACTGCCTTGAAGGGGGCACAGCATCTACCACATGTCGATGGAAAGTCCGCGAGCTTAAGTATTGTCAGGGCACAGGCTGCCGATGTCGTATTGGTCGCCCAAGATCATCCTCAATCCTGCAACTGGTGACACATCGCAGAGGCATGATCATGACCGCTGCATTCACTGCCATCCTGCATCAGCCCTTACTCTCAAGCTGCAAAAATGCAAGCCCACCTGTGTCCAGTTCTGATTCTTCCGCCCCCAACGCCTCAAAATCGTTGACAGATCTGTTCACCTTGGGAAATGTTTCGCAACACTCGCCACGGGCACTTCCGCCTTTGCTTCTCTTCCCGGGCCCTCGCAATCTTCAGAATACTATATCAGTACACTACTACTTTATTATTATACTGAAATTATACTACTTTTAGCTGGACTAAACTATACTACTCTACTCTATTCTACTCTACTATATTACTTCATTGCAGTGCAGCCTTGGCCCTGCCTTGTCACAGTTTAGCCGAATCAATCTCTTCATGCTCTCCCTGGAATAGGATGCTGGAACATTGCACCTCAGAGTCTCAGAGTGAGCCATGCATCACCCTAACTTCACCAGGACCATCGATATTAGCTGCTCCCTGGGCACACGAAACTGACCTGGAAGGCCATGGCCTGCGCTTTGGCGGCCAGAAAGGCCATGAGCATGACCCGATGCACGGAAGCGGCCTGCACGGCACAGAGTCCCGGACCAATGCTCGACAATGAAGTGACGTTAAGCTTCGGGAATGGCAAGTTGGGCATCAAACATTCCCTGTACTGGCTTTCCACCGTCCCGCCCATGTGACTTCACTACTCGACTACATCAATATGGGAGCGGGAGTGGCGGTGCACAGCAGTGCGGTTTGGTTTAGGCTCCAATCTCTCAGTGAACGTGCATAGCTGCTCTAGCTCCGCGGAGGCGAAGGCAGAATATCTGGTGCGACTGGTGTGGCACTTCTGCGGAGCAACGGCAAGTGATCAAGTAGCTGACGGGTAGGCTTCGCAGAAGACTGAGGCACCCACCATGTTAGCCGGGAGGGCCGTGCACTTTTGGCACTACCCATCTTCCATCTTTCTGCGCATCTTGAGCCGTTATCGATGCATGAGCATGCACGGAGCACAACTAAACATACCGCCAAACGCAAAGCTTCGAAGGCCATGTCATTCCTCAGACCCACAGGCGGGGCGGTCTTTTTTGGTGGATGTGCGACGTTAGAAACAGATAGGAGACTTAATTGGAACCCTCCTGGGCTTTCCAGGATACCTGGGGCTTAGCCTCGTCACTTGAGCTATCCGGATCGTTACTGTGCCGCTTTCCGGCGATTCTCGATGAAGGTTTCACCTTGCCAGCTCGAGATATAGCTGACAAATTCGGTGGGGTTGACCCCATGCAGGGCGACCAGGGACGCGGCGAAGCTTGTGAACTGTCTTGGTCGCGATGTCGTTTATGACCTGAAACAGGAAGGCCCGGTCTGCATCCAAACACGTCGCTGCTGGGACGCAGGATGCCGAGAAGTTGACCGAGTCGGGCTGATTCTTGAGCTTCGGCTGTTTCCGGAGAACCTCAATGTAGCCGCCAAGCTTGAAATACCTACCTGTATAGGTCTACTGGATCTGGTAGGTCGGAAAACAACGTCCAACTTGAGTGCCTTGCATGTGTTGCAATAGCACTTGCCAGCCCACTATCCTTGCGCTGGATCCTGAGTCGTTTCTGCAAGTTACACTGGCAACAGACTGAATAATATTGCGGCACGCAATGCAACCAGGTGTCAGGTCCCACTGATTGCTCGTGCTGTAGAAATTCCTCATAATCGTCACCTCATAGCCGAGGGCCAGGAGAAAGAGATGACACTGCAAGGCTTCAATTCTGAGCTCTGAGCCGAGGTGTCTAGCGACACGGCATAGTGCCACCAGCCTTTCGGCGCCACTATTGTCTCACCCCGCTCCACCACAGCCGTGTACGGCGTGGCACGTCGCGCGTCCTGGCGAGTCTTTCAATCCATTCCACCGATGAGGACATGACGGCAAACATTCAAGAGATTCGGGCCACTTCTCGAAGACATCCGGGTCCAACGGATCCAGCCTAAGCTACGCACCGCCGTCTTTCACATCAGTTGCACTTAGGTCGATGTAGGCATTTGATGCCAAGCGACCACGAGCCATTCATGAGACCCTCGTCGCCTTCGAAGGGATGCAGGTGCTCCCCATCCTTGTTCGAGTGCTGTGTATAACACCCACACACTCCAGAAGCCGTTGCTCTCTTACCTGCTTTGTGGCTGCCTGACGCTACACTCGTCATTGCTGGGAATTCATCGCTGTGATCTCAGCCTGATGAGACCCCCAGTCCTATGTACAGTGGCTCAAAAAGCCAAAGAACTGAGAACACCAAGACGTTTCTTCATCCTGGCCACCCTCAGATTCAAGCTTCGCCTGCAGCTTTGAGTGACTGTGAAATCCTCACAAGGATCCAAGCCGTCTTCAGTGCCACTTGGAGCTTCAGGAAGGGAGATGTTATGTAGTTCCAGACATCCCGGCCCTCTTTGTTGCGAATGCGCAATGCCTCCGTCGGCTCCACAGTATTTGCCAGAAGAAGCGCCAGGCCCCACGAATCACCATTGCGCGCGCAGAAATGCAAAGGCGTGTCTCCTCAGCATGTCCGACCCTTGAGACTTACATAGTAACATTCGCAACAGTTCACAGTTGGTGCTTGATTCCACTGGGTACCATACCATTGATGTCCTTGGCTGTGGGATCTGCTCTATAGTTCACCAAGATCTGCATGATCTCTCGCTGCTGTTCCTGCTGCTGCTCGGAGGACCCTGCACCGTCGCTGTTGATGGCCCTGGTCAACAGTCTGGACGCGACATGGAGCGCCGTTTCGTACCTGGAGGGGGCAGGCTCAAACTCCGCAGGGATTGTCACCTCACCGGTGCAGATGTTGGGATCCATCCGTCCATTTTCCAGGAGACGGCGCAGGCATCCAGGATGCCCAAAGCCAACCGCCTTGTGTAGGGGCGTTAGCCCAGCCACATCGTACGTTTCGAGGGCGATGTCCTCCACCTCCAGCAGCCTCAGAGGACGTCGTGTCATTATCGCTCTGCACTTCATCATGCGCGTAGGCCTCTCGGTCAAACACCGCATTATTGGGCGGCCTGCTTGCAGGCGAGTTTCTTTTCCAGCACATGTGCGTGTCCGGCCGTGCTTGCCAAAGCCACACAGGACGCACCTGTCCTGTCTCTGGCGCTTGCGTTTGCCCCAGCTTTAAGTAAAGCAGTTACTAGTGGCAGAGTCCCAGCAGCACATGCAATGTGCAAAGCCGTCTGGCCGATGGAGGTCAACGGCTCATCGATGCCGCCGATGCCGCCTGCCAGAGCTTTCAGTACCGCAGCGACGTCACCCTGCTGAATCTTGTAGATCAGTGCGGCTCGATCGACCTGCGGTGCCATATAGCACCCGGGACCGACAACAACGAAAAGAAAAGGGGAGGCCACAAGGCAACTGAGGCACGGGAGCTTCGAAAGCAACTGGTTGGAGACCATGCCTGCGGCTACACAGACTGCTACACAAAGCGAAGCAGCGAAGCAAGCAGAGCCGGGGCGGCACGGAGCGCGTGCCTGCTCACGGCTGCTCCGGCCACTCCGACCCCGAGGAGCCACACATGCTGCGCACGCTGACCGGCCGCGCCCGCGCGGCCCTGCACCTTCAAACGCCCCTTTGCGGAAGCCCACACCGGAAGACCACGGCGCAGCAAGCGCAGCAAACGGCACTGCATGCTGCTATACCATCGCAGGCTTCACTGGATTGCCGGGTTCACGTGGGTCGCTCAGAAAAAACTCCTGTCCTTCAGGTGTTGTCTACTGATGCTGTCTGCAGTGCTGTTCCGTGCCATTTTGTTTGCTCTCGGTTCTGCACATTACTCCGCTCATGATCGAAAGTTCTCGAGCACGGACGAGGATGGCACCCAACAGCAAGCACAGGAAGTAGGCGTGCCTCTCAGAGTGTTGAAAATTACTGACACCCAGAAATTGGAACATTGCACTATGTGCCGAACGGAAGGTGGAAAGCACCTCAGTCCGAGTACTCTCACCAGGGAATGCTGACCGCCCCCCTAGTCCAACCAGTCTGACTGCATCAGAATCAAAGTGCGCACCGCACCCTCAGTCCAGCGCACAAACATTTTTCGGCCTGGCAACAAGCTCCAGAAAGCTAGGGCCGCTGATTTTCGGGCCAGCAACGGTTCATGAGCTCGAGCCTTCCATCTGAGAAAGCCAGGCCTCAACATCGAGATAAAGTCATGCCAGGCTGCCGGCTGAAGGCTTGCTCTGGGCTCCCTGCATGCGCACCACCGTTGTCAAAGTGCAGCCTCGTGATGGCACCCTTTGGTGAAACGAAGACTTTTGTCAAGTCCCAGTCCTGCCGAAGCAGAGTGAGTTGATCCAGACCGACACGCTGAAACGGGCTTGCACCTGCAACACCTTCCAGCCCGCACCTCATTCTGCAGCTTTTGCTTCTGTTCTTCTGCATCAGGCCTCAGCATCGGCTTAGACAACACTGACAAGGCGCCGTTACGCTTTAAAAGGGTCACCCCCTTGACCGCCATTTTTGATGTCATGGTTGTAGTTGCTCTTTATCGTTCTGAAAGCAAATACGGCAAGCCCATCCATGTTGAATTTTCTTGACTCTTATCGTATCGGGGTGTTTCTTCTAATCGCTTCAGACCAAGGAGCGGCTGATAACTGCCACGAGCCGTGAGCCCCTCGAGGAGCGACTGGGCATCGGGGCGTCTTTGCAGCTAAGGCATAAGCCCTAGGAGAATATAACATAGTACAACATCAGACTATATCCCTATACCATGTGCTGGTATAGAATGCTGCTCCAAACCGTGGCTTTCCCGCCTCTCGCAGGGCCTCCGATTCTCGAATCAGCAAAGAGTTGAGATCCTCACGTCACACACCCGATCCCTCCAAAAGAACAAGAAGGCAGTGGCACGGAGCTGGCACCTCCAGGATCATATCCGCAGAAGCGGCCGCATCCGCGATCCCCTCACCCCCAGGAACCACATAACTCCGAAGCCATGGTAGCTGAGCAAAAGCCGGCCAACCGTTCAAGTAGAGTCTGGGACAGCTTGCCGCATTCTCGTCTTTGCAATCTGGATCTAATCTCTCCAACTCGCGAACATATTCAGCATACTCACTGAGAGAAGTTTCGTATACCGGCGCTTCCCAAAGATTTTCCTGGCGAGTGAAGATGGGCCCGAGCCACTTGACGAGCTGGCGAGTGTGACCCAACTTTTCCGCGAGCCACGAGAGGTCCCATGTGTCTTGTGCAGGCCAGCCTTCCTGCATGTCCACCACGATGAAAGGCTCCGAGGCTTTCCCGACATCGAAGCAGTCGAACTCGGTGCTGCTTCTTCGCGCAATGCTCCGCGCCGACTCCAGCAAGGGTGGCACGTGGCCAGCGGCAGTCTCGCGACAGAAGTTGAGATAGTACTGAGAGGGCGGCAAAGACTCCACTCGAGCCAGCCACCAAGGAAGCTTCAAGCAACCTGAGTCGTCTTTCGCCTCCGTCGGCAGTGCACTCTGCAAGCTCTGCGTGGCCGACTGGGTGCCATCGACTTCCAGTATTTGCACCTCAAAAAGGAGGTTGCTGCTCGGCGGCACGATGTGTGGCACCCCGTTGACCCCATACCCCAGATCTGCAGGGATATGGATCTCAGCAATGGAGCCCAGTGACAACTCTCTCAGTCCCAGCTCCATACCTGGAATAATGGCCTTCTTGCCCAGGAGCATCGTCATGGGTGCTTGGCCTTTGCCCTCCGTGCTTTCAAAAACGCAGCCGCTGGGCAAGCGTCCCACCACATGGGCAACAACCAACCTTTGCGCCGCGAAACTGTTCAACAAAGCTCACGAGGGACAGTCGGGTGGACTTAAGGAGTTTTGGTGGCCATGCAGTGTGCAGGTTTGAGCTTTCTGCCGTCGAGCATCTTCTGTGGGAAGTGCTGTCCATCGCCTTCTTGCAAGACCTGGAGCGCAACTTATGCACATGCTCGGCCGCCAATCGCGTCTTTGGCAGTTTACTTCTATCCATTCTGAGTGTTAAACATACTGTGTATATATATATATATATATATATATGTATCCCTCTTCTTCCCCCGGGCATGAGGACGGGTCAGGTCCCTCGGCCTCATGGGCCCCCCATATGTTATGGTGCTTTGAAGGGACTGTGATTATGGTGCTTTGAAGGGACTGTGATAAGGTCTACGTGGTCGGATCGGGACAAGTATATAATAAAAGTGTGCAGCAGTACGAGACATACCCCTCTCTCTCTCTCTCTTTTTCCAGTGTGCGTGGCTTTTGGCCACGGTTTGCATCAGCCAATCAGCCAATCAACCCTTTTGAAACCGGACTTGATGACTGCCGGCATTGCCTCAACCCTAAACCCTTGTTTTTTTACCTTTTTGCAACAGGCTTTCCACTTCGCCTAAACCCTAAACCTCTAAACCCTAAACCTTGAACCCGACCAGCCGATGTCGGCTGATGCGCAGTTTGGAAGCCCACTTTCCTAGCACAATATTTAATTTTCCTGTCACTTATTGTTATCCATTTGAACCTATTGAATCCTATTGCTATGAAAGTCTAAAGGCCAAGTAGCTGAGACGACCACGCCCTGGGGCAGCTCCACCCGACGCTTCACCGGAGGTGGCCCGGCCAAGGCTGTCGCGACCATTTGGCCGCTCAGGGGCTCAGGGGTGGCTAAACGGAGCCCTTGAAAGGGACCCTTCAAGGAACCCTAGGGGGCAACTTGGGCTGCTTGGCTTTGGAAAGCTTAAAGTTTCCCTTATGGTTCTTATAGAGGTACCTATTCAGGAGCATGGGAATGAAGGAATGGGGCTTACGGAGGTTTGGCAATCTTCCTCGGTTTGTGACAGGACGTCCCGCAGGCTGTGCACACTTCGAGGGTTCGTCTTGGGTAGGGCGTGCTGATCAGAAACTGTGGCTTACCCCATCTTGAGACGTCTTGAGATGCGCGCTCGTTTACAGCACTTGGTTGCCGTCTGCATGCCATACAAACCAGCTGAAGGCGTCTCTGATGTCGAGGCTTCAATCGCGTGCTCTTTCCTTCTGCACAGTTCTGCTCTCGTGCCTACAACCGAACAAGTCCACCATGCGACATCGCTGGAGTCATTCTGCTGTACATGCTGGCACTGAGCGGGTACCAACACTAAGGAATGGCGCTCCTGCCGCCTGTGGGCTGCCTCGACTCAAAAAAGTGTCCAACTACGGCCCTGCTTGTTCTGGTTCTACCCAGACGCATGCTTTCTGTGAGCTTGGACACTTTTTGCAAGCATCTGGCAAATCTGGCACATCCGGCTGGAAGGCATAATTTACTCCACAAGTGAAAAGAATTGGCCACGAGCTTCTTCATGCAAACTTCCAGCCGGTAAATATTCAGAAATGTTGGGCGGATGTGAAACTGACTGCTTTGCAGTTGCAGACTGTCGAAGACATAACTTCCTGCACTGACCGTGTCCTTGGCAGTCTTGAGTTAGAGTCTTAGTCTCAGGTCAGGGGCTCAGGGGCTCGGGCAGCGATCCATAGTTGCACAAATCCGAGGCTGCTCTCGGGCGAGGTTGCAAGTGGGCGACTGCCTCACCGGATTCTGGCCAGACGCTGAGTCAGATGATACAGAGGTTCTGCGCTAACGCAGGCTGTCACCAAGTCGCCGATCTGAGTTTAACCCAGTCAGCAAAATACGTTCACGGCATGCCGCGTGCATTATCCTGCTGGAGCGTGGGACACATCCCTGTCTGCTAGCGATTGCTGCTGACCCCCTCACAGCCCGATGACCTTTCGCCTCCGATCAATCGATCATTAGTAGTTCCTTCCTTGATGTAATCGGGGACCCTACAGCAGTGTAGCGTCCGGTGCATAAGTGAGGTTTGTTGCCGAGAGCACGCTTACACTGCTGAACAGCAGAGTGTCACACAATCGAAAGATGTCACATATTGTAGTATTGAGTGCCAGGCAGGCAAGAATGAGCTTTCCCATCTTGCGAGCTTTAAAATGGCAGATGGCAGCTTTGCAGGGAAGGCTACGAAGCACTGGGTGGAAGTGTGTGAAATTCTGCGGTCCGACGGGCACCCGGCCTCACCCTGCAAAGAAACCAACTAGGCCACTTGCTCAAGTCAGGCCTTTGGGGCAGAACTCTACATGCCTAGCAGCTGAAGCGTCATCCAGCATACCAAAGTAAAAGGCGCCACGCGCACCTCAGGGCAACATCACCCTTGGATTGCAGGAGTCGCTTCGGCTGCGTAGGGATGAGGACGGCACGATGTCCAATACATACTCGCTATATGCAGCTCGATGTAGATTCCTGGTCACGAGGGTCACGCTTTTTTGTGCCGGGGCGGTAGTGCTTGAAAACCGATGTTTAAGGTCGTGACCAGCTGTTTCGGATCCAGACTCCAGACTCGATCGTCAGCGTCGAAGTGCACCAGGACCTGCTCAAAACAGACGCTACGACAAACAATCGCATATCCAACTTCGTCAATCTCCGGCCTTGCCAGCAGCATGACCAGGTCCGACCTCATCAGCTCTCTGTCAACACACCAAATCTCCGGTTGCCCTGTGTGTTGCCGAGAGATCTGCGACGGTGCCCTCTTCTCCTTCTGCCACCGCTAGCCTGGTCTCCTTGGCCACGATCTGCAAAGCCACAAGTCTTCCAGAATCAAACAAATTCCAGGCGTCTGGCATCAAAGCTGCGAGAGCCGAAGACTTGGCCCAAGCTTCGGACCTTTCGGAACCAAAACCCGACTGCTGCCCTGAAAATGTCAAAGGCATGGGCCAATACCACAGTGCATCTTTCCTTCATCCCTATCCGATCCACCAAAGCAAGCTAGCACACAGCAGTCCGTGTCGTTCTGAGCATGCGGACGCGGTCGCCCCGAGCAAAACCCTGGACCTTTTCCTGGATGGTCTCCTCGTAGGCCTGCTTCCCAGCATGCGCTTGGATTCTGCAAGTTCTGATACTGCTTTTGGCTGTAAGGATTTTACATGGCCTCTGCGGCCTTGAAGTCCCTAAGTTTGGTTTCCGTGTTCTTCCAGCAGCCAAGCCGTCCATGCTGCTGCGCAGCTTGTAAGCCAACTAATTGCTCAAGCATCCCGTGTGGTGACAAGGGCACGTGCGACACGCGCAAACAACATCATGTGTAGGAAATGCGGTTTATCTACTGGACTCTCATAGCATTGACACGTGTGTAGGTGCATGCATGTGGCTGAGGCATCAGTGCAAGCCGGAACGTCTGAGGCTCTGCCGGAGAAAGCAATTTGACTCCAAGCCTCCGTTTTGCAAATGAGGCAGGGCCATATGCTCCACTCGCCGATGCCGTTGTCAAAGCCTAGGTCACTGCAAAGAGCCGGCAACTTCACTAGAATAACAGCATCGCACCGTGCTGTTGCCGGGCTGAGCTTGGCTGAGGAATCCACGGACAGCGAGCTTACCTTTGACCACGGATGGGCCGACTACCTCATCACTACGTCGCTCCACATGTCACCCTGCGGCATGACTGGGCTAGCATGCTGATCATGCATATTTCCGTGGCCCATGTCAGCTCCGAACCGTACCCTCATCGCCCAGCCACAACTCCTGTCATTGCCACATGGTCCATGCCTGTATGCACCTTTCGCACAATTCAATAATAGCACGCTCCACTCGAGCATTCGCCATGTCTTCTGTCCATATGATACAAATCGGTTTGGAACCGCACTAGGTGGGCCCGCATGACTTCGTCATGCGGGCAGTAACTGGTAGCCAGGCTGGCTTTGCCAGAACCTGTGTAATGGCGGTGCTACAACCAAGCCTCCAGCGCTTAGCCGAGCCTATGTCTCTGACTCTGCATACCAGTCCGGCATACCATCGAGAACTGAATGCACAGCACTGCAGCAGTTGATGCGACAGCTGATGAGACTTTGGTGAGAGCGGAAGATGAGCCAACCCAATCGAGTGCTGCGACACATTGCAGGCATTGTTCTGCTAAATGTGGGACAGCAGCAGAGCGCCACCGGGAAGCGAGAAGCTCTTTCTTCTGACCTCCTTATTGTGCATGACCTCAGCAGGGAGCACCACAACAACAGGCGCACAGGCAGCATCGCAGCACAATACTCTCGGCGAGTGCCACATTTGAATGTAAGCGGAAACAGGAACAGAGAGGCAGAGAGACAAAGAGAGCGAGAGATCTACATATGTGCATATACAATATTATCAGTTAGTTTTGTAGTATAGAAAAGGATATATTAAAATGCAGTGTCATATCAGATCACAAGAATATATGAGAGAATTTAACTTAACATAAAACCCCTATAGTACAACCTAATATCCACCGACCCTCCTTGGGGGCGACGCCTGTGGCGACGCCCGTGAAGTTGTGTTTGCACCCGTGCTCCGGAAGCTGCAGCGAAACCACAAAATCAAAGGGGATCTCCGCTATGCGCTGACCCCTCACCGTCCATCGCTCGCGACTTGTGGATTTTGTTTGGGATTCTGTTATAGGGATGTAGAGGTATTTAATGCATGCCCAATGAGCCCCCGACCCCCCACCGCCCTCCACGGCCTCACCGCCCTCAGGGCCCGCCGACCCCTCACCGTGCTATGGCTGCCGGTTGGCGACTTGTGGACTTTGTTAGGGATGCATAAGAACGGAGACGTAAATAAGGGCAGTCCAGTGCAAAAATATTCCATGCGTGCCCAACGGGGCCCCTTCGTCGTTCTCCCCCCAACTGGCCTGAAGCCAAAGGGTAATCGAGAGCGGCAGGCTTTGGCATGAAGCCAGGGACACTAGATTCCAGGAACTGCCGCAGCTATTCTTGAAGCCTCTAGCCGTTTATCAAAGCCGGCAAGGGTGCCCTGCTGGTAGCATTAATGGAAGGCCAATAATAAACTCCAACGGGGCTTCTCATAATGAGAAGGCAAGGGCCAGTTGGCCTGAAGCCAGAGGGTTTGCTGTTCGTGAGCTGCAGGCTTATGCTGTGCTTTGTAATCACAGAAAAATCAAAGCAGCAACATCGCACGACAGAAGAAACTTGCATGAAGATGTAGAAGTCCTTCACCGGACGCAGGAGGCGGCTTCTCAAAAAAGCCCTCGCTGGGCACCAAAGCAGTGCTTGCTTCAGCTAGCACCAGAGCACTTCCGTTAAAGCCTTGCGGCGTGGACTTGGGCGCCCCGCGGGCACGCATGATGCGCATCAGCTCGGGAGCCTGTGGGCTCCTGACGGGGCCTGCGAGGGGCGGCAGCGCTGAAGGCTAGCCGTGTGTTCCCAGCGTGCAGTCTTTCGACGGTTTTTTCGTTCAATGCTGCTCTTCAACCTTGGGGTGTTGACCTGAGCCCCCATCATGCGCATCAGCTAGGGTGTCTCGGGGGGAGGCGGGTGGCGCTGGCGCTCAAGGCTAGGAAGATGATGTCAAGCACAATTTCCAGGATTTTGCGTCTGTCTTGGAAGAAAAGTCGGCCCCCTCCGGCAGCGGCTTGGGGGTGGGACGGGGCGGAGCGCCGTTCCACCTTCACATCGTGTATACGTGGAAATAAACTTTCCCCTATGATGTGCTAACTCTGGGAGAGGACTGGCCGCGCTGCCCGCACCTAGCGCAGCCCTTAAATAAAAATCCGATCTAGTTTGATATAGCAAAATACACTACAGACGCATGTCTGTGGATAGATAGATAGATAGATAGATAGATAGATGATAGATGATAGATGATAGATAGATAGATAGATAGATAGATAGATGGATAGATCGATCGATAGACAGATAAAAAGATAGGTAGACAGATAGACAGACAGACAGACAGATAGATAGACAAATAGATAGAGAGATAGATAGCTAGTTAAATAGATAAATAGATAAATAGACAGATAGACAGACAGATAGATAGATAGATAAAGATGTTGTATATAACATGTAGAAACGAATGTAAAACAATATCATGTAACATAGTAGTACAAAATTGGTATGTATATATATATATGTGTGTGTGTATATATATATATATGTGTGTGTGTGTGTGTGTTTGTGTGTATGTGTATATGTCTATATATATATGTATATATATATATATATATATACTTTTTATGTGTATATATATATATATATATGTCTTGTGTATTGTACAGAAGATAGTCTCCTCCTATATATATATATATACAGCTTCCACTATACGATACATCATTTCTAATATATAATATGGCATTTAAACTGTTATCATAAATAACATAAAGCATAAAGTAAAGTGTACGTATATGTACGCTAACTGAAACAGAATATAGAATATAGGCTAATTACAGAATGTATAAGAACATGTAGCACATAATGTATTATGTGGAATAATGTATTACGGTGCGTACATACATATGCATATACATCTACATGTACATATGCATGTACATATACATACACATGCATTCATACCTACATTCATACATACATGCATGCATGCATGCCTGCCTGCCTGCATACATACATACATTCGTACATACACGCACGCAGAGCCACAAAACTCCTGCATGCTCGTTTAAAGCGAGTGACATCGACGGTCTCGTTGGGCGGTCGCAGGTGGAGGATCTTCGGTGCTGGGCGGGACGGCTTAGCAGGCTTCCGAGGCTTGTGCGAGGACCGCGGCTGAGGATCAGGTGGCAGCACACCCAAGCTTGGCTGCCGAACAGGGGTGAGGCCGCTTGGCCTCCAACGTGGAACGGCCCTTGGTCGCAGGTCCGGTGCACTGGAGCTCACTGGAATCCGCGGCTGCGGATTCGTGATTCCGTTGGCCTCCAAATACTCAAGGAGGTCCCTTCGAACCGTCTCGGACTGTGGAGGGTGCATCATGCCAAGGTGAATCGGAGCTTGCTGGTAAGCTCGTATGCCGGCCTTCTGTACATAGGGCCGCGGCTGGCTGAACCACTGGCCTGCAATCCGGGAGACCCTCTCGTGGCCTGGCGTCGGAGTGGACTGCCCACTGCGGAGGTTGTAGACCTCAAAGGTGGATGCCATCTCTGCATCTTGGGCACCTCCTCATCCCGACTCTCTTTGCCCGGGCTCTACAGGCTGCACTGGGCCCAAGCACTTGAGAGGCAAAGTCGAAGAGCGAAACAAGAAGCGGTCTCTCAAAGCTGAAAGCAGCGAGACATCTTTGCTCCCAAGGCCCACCTGGTGTGGCTGCTCGGAGGGCGGGTTCAGCAAAGTCACTAGAGACTTCACCTTTGGAGCGGAAAAAGGACTGCGCAGCCTGAAGTCTTGGAACGAAACGTCTCGATTCTAAGTCCCCTGCCCGGCTACCCCAGTTGAATCCAAATATTCCCGCAGCGCGCGCTGCGCCAAATTGAGCAGGCTGACCTCCGAAAGTCTCATCTGACAGGAAACGGACTGGCACTGCAGTGGATCGACTTATCTCGGTGCCGGGGTTAAGGTGCAGGCTGATCTGGAGCGGCGAGAGCCACCTGCCGCTACTTGACCCTTGTCTCGCCAGCTTCAATCGGCCGCAAGCAAGACAAGTTCAAGATTCAAATTTCACGCCGGCAGCACCAACAGACTCCACGAGGAAACTGGACCTTTGTGCACACTGCGGACATCACCCGCACCACATCCGAGGCTGCAGCACCCGGCCTCCACCCTAAGCCCCTGAAACACGATGTCTCTCATCTGAGTTTCCGGGTGTCCAGCTAGCAGGCGGAGGTCGACCTCGCCTCCGAAGCGACGCTCCACCTCGAGGGTTCACAAGAGTCTGCCTGACTTGACCGGCCACCGTACCGGTGCTCAGCTGCAAGCTGCACCGACAATGTTCCCCTCTTGGCCCAATTCCATGATGAGCCTGACATGACCCAGCACTGCAAGGGGCGTACTCGCTCAACCCTTCAAGTGCGGAAGACATGCCGGGGCTTCGTCTGATTCTGTGCCTCTCTAGAAATGAGCGTCACCTGGCACGATGTAGCTCAGGGATGCGAGGGATGCTCAGGGCAGCTCAGGACTCAGAATGGAGAAGGAAACGTGGCCGGAAGCGCCGCTCTTTCGCCTACCGTGAAGCCGCCAGGCAACGTCCGCTGAGGCAGCGGTGGCACCTTCCACACCACATTTTCCAAAAGATGAAGGGCCTCTGCAAAGCAGGCCAGGCCTTGACGCCCTCTCCGTCGGAAAGCTCTGCCGACCCAGGCTTCTCAGGTGCCTCAGAAGAAACCGAAGAACGGATGAGTCCCTCCAGCTCCAGGCTCCAGCGAAGCTCCGAAATTTCCCTGGCCTTCTTCCGATGCTCACCGGCTTTGGGCTCTTTGACCTCTCACACAAAGAGAGGCGGGGAAGGGGAGGCCACGGCCACGCCACTGCGCCAGGGCGGCGCCAGGGCTTCGTCGCTCTGTGGCCCGCGCGCTAGTCAAGACTTCCTTCGCTTCCATGGCCTCAACAGGGCTCGGGAAGCCAGCAACGGCAGAGGTTGTCGACAAAGTTAGCGCTGTCGAGAACATCTCTTTTTCTGCGAGCAACTCCACTGTACGTGCAGGAGGGGCTTAGCTACAAGAGCAACGTTTGGCCACACCTCGCGAGTGGGTGGCTCGTCGCGAAAAATGCCCTCACACTTTCCCTGCGGTTCTTCAGGCTTTGTTCAAGAAGAAATAGGCTGCTGCTGCCAGCGCGAGAACCAGCACGGCAGGCACAAAGGCTCCCAGACCACCCGCAGCTCCGGATTTCGCTGCTGCTTCAGCATGTTTGGGAACAAGCTTTGTTTGAATTCCCTCTTCATCCGCAGCACTCTCCATGTAGCCGATGATCAGCCTTAGATACGTTCCCGCAGGCTTCGATCGTGGTTGGCTGGCACTCAGTGATGTGCCACCCGTACAATGCGATGTTCAGATGTGGCGAGTGCCCTCCAACGGCCAACTTTTGGGGAGCTAGCGAACAACATCAATGCTGCTACATGCTGATATAGATGCCACCCGTCTCCAATCTACAACCAACGGCTTCACTTCTTACGCTTCATTTCCGACCCCGTTCAAAGCCTCAAGCCAGCATGCAGTCGGGAAGCTTGCTGGCCCAGTCTCGAGCACTGTCGCTGTGCGAGATGTCCTCGAAGTCCTGTGTGCCATCCTGCCGGCTGCAAGGCAACTGCAAAGCCACGTTTCATCACACCTACTGGCCGGTGTTTAAGCATATGCTTTATATGCTTTCTCATTGTGGTCCCTTGTAGCAGCAGCGTGCAAGCAAAAGTTGGGTGAATTCGCCCACGGGGGACGACGGCGTGGGTCATTATCGTCTTCATTGTCCTTGTAGCAGCAGCGTGCAAGCAAAAGTTGGGTGAATTCGCCCACGGGGGACGACGGCTTGGGTCATTATCGTCTTCATTGTCTTT